TTTGGATAAATTGCTTCGGCATGTCTCCAGAGAAATATTCTAGAATGGCTAGAAAATTCATTGATAAATTCTAAGCAAGTGATCGCATTTCTGGAACAATGGAGATAGGGATAGAAACATAAAGAATGTTGGGGAGGAGTAACAAAGAATTTAGAGACAGTAAAGCCTAAGCTCCCAAGAAAAATGGGCAGAGCTAAGCCTTAAAAGCTAATAGGCAGGCGGAGAAGAGATTCTCAAGTGGCCAGTTTTGAAGAAACCAGACATTACTACTGAAAATGGCATGTTTTACCACAGTGTGAAAGCGATGTCTGCATTTTCTAGGACTACATACAGAATGAAACCAGGTTAAGTAAAACTTGCGTTAGTTTTATGACTTTCTATACTGTATTTATGACTATAAAATAGAATAGAGTCAATAATAGTTTGCAGGGAAATTGCAAGCGTTCATGGCCCTTGATATTAATACTGAGATAGATACAATGGCTTTAGCAATGCTGATGAAAGGTTATGGAATGATGACGAAGTTATCACTATAATCATGAAAGGATGACAGCTCCTTTCATGTCTATTGACTAGAAGGAATGAAATATTAGGCTTCCTTTTTTGAAAAGAAATCTATCTCAATGACATAAGCAAGCCTATGCCTGTATTTCTCAGTTTAGTCCAGATTGATCCCCGCAAAGCTGGATTTCTTTTGGTAAGTAAGGAAGAGTAGCCAGATAGTGACTGGAAAGTACTGTGGACCACGGATCCTTGGCTTCTTGCTATTGTGATCTCTGTATACAATTCATTTAGTCATTAAATCCTGTATATTTAGTACTATAGCAACCTACATTTTATAGGTAAGAAAATTTAGGATTAGAGTATTTACATACTTAGCATCACCAAATTAAGCAGCTGGTAGGATTTTTTTTTCCGGTAGAAATTTTTGAATGAAGACACCTGCAATGCTCATTGTAAGAGGAAATGAATGAATAAAACATTTTTCTTCTAGACTTTAAGTTGAAAATGAAAATAATTATTATTTATTATGTATGACTGTTATAATATATGTATGATTTTTATGTAATTATTTCAATTGTTAAAACATCAAAATATCTATTAGTGATGATTACGTAAGATGCTTTTATGTTAGGATTAATTAGCTGGGGTGCCCGATTGAATATAGGATTGGTTACTAATAGAGTTTTAAAGTTTCTGCTTCTCAAAAGTCCGTATAGTGACAAGTCCTCCCACATCAATAATTAACTTAAAAATACTTCCCAGCCATGCCTACATGCTATTATGATGAAGTGATTTTTTTCCAGTTAATGCTCCCCCTTCCGAGATGACTCAAGCCACGTTGATTAAAACTATCAGCATAATTGATTCCTCATGGACTTGACTCACCAACAGAATACTATTGATCTATGACTTTTTCTTGTTTTTGTTACCAAGATCTCACAGTAATGTCACAATATAAGATGTAAATTTAAATGCCATGTTAAATGCTTTCTTACTCCATGAAGGGGAAGTCCAAACACAGCTACCACCAAGTCAATGGGAAACCAATATCCATCAGTGCAAATCAAGTCCTACAGCTTAGAGTGTGGTGTTTTGAAATCACAATTTTCTGTGCTCAGAAGGGGTTGGGAAACTCCATCCTTTCACCTCCACCACACGCAGTCCACAAACTTGTCTTATAGCCTCAAGCTAACTTCGCTGCACACCGGCCACTATGTTTTGTGGTCATTCCATAGCCCTGGAATCTCCACAGTCTTGAGGTCTCCACTGCATCTGAGGTTTCATCTATAGCATATTCTGGTTCCTTTTCAAGGACTTCACACTTGCCCTATGACAGGAAAGCTAGTTTCTTTCCATTATCCCTCCAATGTTCCAGTTGTCATGCCAACAAACGTAAGTAATTGGAGCCTTTTTTTTTTTTAAATTTGATTTTTATTCTCTACATTTTTCTCTGCTCCCCTTCCTTCCCCTCCCCTGAGACTCTTACACATTACCAAGTTTAGCTTCCATCTTGAAGTGCAGCTTTGGCTGCCCTGGGTCATAGCTGTGTGCTGACTCTGAGGAAATACCCTCCAGAAGGTTTCACTCAAAGATACTGGTCTCTTAACAGTCACAGCTGAGTTTTCAGCCCCAGATAACCAGTATCTACTTTTCCAGTAATGCGACATTTTACTTACGTGGCTCTGGTTTATTGTTAATTGCACCTAATTCTTCAGCTCTAGCTTACCAGAATGACAGAGTCTTAATTCAACGTATCACATGAATAGCCCTGATAGTCCTTGAGGGTTTCTCTAACTTCCTTCTGACACTTCACCACCCAGGCTTCCATTATCAGCCTTTCTCCCTAACTCCTATCTTTCCAACTCCCACTGAACAGCACGTTTAGCTATGAACAGTCAACACTTTTCCAGCCTAAAGCTTCCAACACTTCCATAATCCTTCCAAAAACCACGTGGTCGAGTCCGTCACAATAGTCCATTCTTTGATACCAATTTCTGTTTTACTTTCTACTGCTGGGGTAAAACACTGTCCAAAACCAGCATAGAGGAGGAAACGGTTATTTCGTTTAACAGTTTACAGTCCATCGTGAAGGGAAGTCAAAAGCAGGACCTCTTGTCAGGAACTGAAGCATGGCTTGCTTAGCTTCCGTTCATATTCAACCTAGGATTAACTATCCCAGGTCTGAACCTCCCTCAGTGGGCATGACCCTCCCTTATCAATCATTAATCAAGAAATCGCCTACATACTTGTGTACAGGCCAGTCTGATGGAGGTATTTTTTTTCAATTGAGGTTTTCTCTTCCTAGATGCTGCTAGCTTGTGTCCAAGGAAACTAACCAATTCAAATACAAAACAAATTATCCTGGTTGACTGATAAAGTTTTATGTTATGAATGCAACAGAATTACCATTGGAGAACACCTACCACTAGAATGTTGTGTCTTGTTTCCAGAGACTGTTTTATGGTTATATAGTTGTGTTATCTGACTCATCATTTTTTCTTTTGAAAGTTCAGGTATACTTTACAAGTATAAGTAATGAGCTGATTGTTGTATTAGTGGTCTAAGAGAACCTTCATGAAAATAACATTATAGTCAATTCTCATTAAGTTAGGAACACTAGAAATAAAGCTCCTATTTTTCTTCCATTTTTTTCTGTATTTTATTTTATATACCAACCACAGTTTTCTCTCCCTCCTCTCCTCCTGTTCCTTCCTCTCACTTTTTTTCTACACCCATCATCATCTCCTCCGCCATCTCTACTCAGATGGGGTAAGTTATCCCTTTGGAATCAACAAAGCATGGCATATCAAGTTGAGGCAATACCAAACTCCTCCCCACTGCATCGAGGCTGAACAAAGCATCCCACTATAGTGAAGAGGTTCCAAAGAGTCAGCTTATGTAATTCTGGTCCCACTGCTAGGGACCCCACAAAAGACAAACTACACAACTCTCACCCAGATGCAGAGGGCCTTGGTCGGTCCCATGCTAGATTCCAAACAGTTCACTCAGAATCCGTGAGCTCACACAAGCTCGGTTCAGCTATTCCTGTGGGCTTCTCCCATCATGATCTTGACCCCTCCCCCTTGCTCATGTAATTGCTTCTCCCTCTTTTCACAAACTCCTGGAGCTCTGCCCAGTGCTGGGCTGTGAATCTGCTTCATTTCCTCCAATTTTAAGGTTAATTGGTATATTAGTTACTTTCCCTGTTGCTGTGAAAAAAATATGACATGATTTCAGGAGAAAGGCTTTATTTTGGCTCACAGTTTGAGAGTGGTTTCTAAACAGGTAAAGAAGTCTTGGTGGCAGGAACTCCAGGCTGCTGGTCACATTATATCTGTATTCAGAAAGCATAGGACAATAAATTCCTAGTCCTGCTTTTTATATTTTTCATTCAGTCCAAAGTCTAGTCTGGGAACTGGTTGCAGTGGGAGTGTCTTTCCACCTTAATCAACCTAATATAGACATTACCTCAACTCATGTCTAGAGTCTAAACTTACCTAGGTAACTCCTCAGTCTATCATGTGATTCCAAATCCAATTTACCCACCGAGACTCAATGTCACAGCTGTGGTAGAAATTCTTCAAAATACAGGCAATATTACCATGTATGTTCAAAACTATCTGGAATTCAAACATTATCTTAGAAGATAGTATAAAACATTTCCAATGACGTGACATAACACTGAAAATTTAAATTAGTTCTTGCTTCAAAAGTAGACACTAATTATTTTCAACTTAGGCCCCAAGTTAGTCTTCTTTTATTTGGAGCTGAGACAAACCTAAACACTGCTATACTTCAAAACTGCAATAAAGGTTAGAAACTATACTTGACCAAATTTGTACTCTTAGAAATTAATTATTATCAGGCCAAGTGGTGGTAGTACATGCCTTTATTCCCAGCATTTGGGAGGCAGAGGCAGGCAGATCTCTGGGAGTTCGAGGCCATCCTGGTCTACAAGAGCTAGTTCCGGGACAAGCACCAAAGCTCAGAGAAACCTTATCTAAAAAAAAAAAAAAAAGAAGTTAATTATTATCAACAAAATTCTTATAAAACTCAACCTGTTACTGTTTAATCTTTTCTAGGATTGCTAAATTGACAAAGTATTTCAGAATGTCTCTAAACATGGTAGCAAAGACAAGGTTTAAAGGGTAGAACTTGTATTCTTCATTTACTTACTTTTGATTTTGAAAATGGTTTCTATCTATATTTGGCATTAATTATATAGATGACTTATTTTCAGCTCTTTATTAGATTTTTTTGGATTTTATTTACATAATGAATTATATTAACTTTTAGAATACTAATCATAAAGTCCTGCCTAAGTATACATTAGTTTTTCTCAGAATTAACATTCAGTCATTTAGAAAAATAATATTTCAAAAACAGTTGTTGGTCTCTTATAAATTTTGTTGCATATTTTTAATAATTCTTTTTTGACAGGAAAATGACTGATTACTTTCTCCATACTAAAATGTGATTTTTCTTATTTTTTGTAGGTTTTATTGGGATTTAATAATGCTGATAATGATGGTTGGAAATTTGGTCATCATACCAGTTGGAATCACATTCTTTACAGAACAAACAACAACACCATGGATTATTTTCAATGTGGCATCAGACACCGTTTTCCTATTGGACCTAATCATGAATTTTAGGACTGGGACTGTCAATGAAGACAGCTCTGAAATCATCCTGGACCCTAAAGTCATCAAGATGAATTATTTAAAAAGCTGGTTTGTGGTTGACTTCATCTCATCAATCCCAGTGGATTATATCTTTCTTATTGTAGAGAAAGGAATGGACTCGGAAGTTTACAAGACGGCCAGAGCCCTTCGCATTGTGAGATTTACAAAAATTCTCAGTCTCTTGCGTTTATTACGCCTCTCAAGGTTAATTAGATACATACATCAGTGGGAAGAGGTAAGTCACATGTTTTCTTTCTTTAAGCTATTGTATCATGATTTTCATGATGATTATTTGAATGTATATTTTCTATGTTTCTATTGCATGGAATTTAAGAACAAATAAATCCCAGACTTCTCTTTTCTGGTATTTAGTGATATTTGGATCTCTGAAAGATTTGAATCAACTTAAAGTAATTATAAAACATTCTACCAATTGAATTTATTTTAAGCAAATACACTTTACCTGGCATATTGTTATCCTAGGCAGTACAATTTTTCCCATGCCTTGGAAGATTCTTTTCATTTGATTAGGGTGCATCAAATTTCATCCTTGACGGAGATGCATAGGGTATGATTAGTGATAGGGTATGATTTATCATTACATGGAATTTATGATGGAGCAAACTGGATTGTTTCCTTGGTTATCTCTCAGTTCTATAAATTCATATATGAGTTTAGCATACTAAACCTGCTCATTGTTTTTCGTTGCCTACAGTTTTCCCCAATTTCCTCATCGTTTTCCCCCATTAGTCCATTTCATAATAGTGAAAAAACACCATACCTAGGAAGGAAATTAGTACGTGGAGAACACAAAGAAATAAATGCAGTGAATCTAGCCAATTAGGCCTCTTTGCCGCTGAATAGGGCTTCTGCTGTTCTTAGACAGTGGGTGGGATGGTGAAAGAGCCCTGCCAACTGCAATTTCCAAAGGTCTGAGTTAAATATACCACCATCAAGCAAATAGCTACCTCTTTCCACAGCTAGTATCCTCACCATTTTTGGCTTTTTCCTTCATAAGCATACCTCTTTATATTAATTGTAAACTGGATTTGATTGTCTGCATAAGAACGAGAGCTCACAAGCTCTCCAGAGTACCACAAAGAACTCTGGAATAAAAGCAGTACATGACTCTAAGTTGTTGTTTTGCTCCTACACAAATGCCTTTTGGTATTTAAAAAGACAAATTCTGCTTTTAAAGAAGTCATAAAATGCAAGCTTTATTTACTTTCTGGGCAGCTGTAGCAATGTTTTTTCTGCACGCTTGTTTGTCAATGACATTTTGATTCACAGGATTTCAGGAAATGACACATAATAAGAAGACAGTGCATAGCACACTGACGAAAGCCACACAATGGATCATTCTTAAAATATGGAGCTGGAATACAGTTAGCATCAGATGAAGCATATTTGAGGAACTGGATTCGCTTGTATATATCTATATATAGTACACACATCTAAACGGAAATTAATGTTCAGTTCTCAAAGCTTTTTTTTGCAAATAAATTGAAAATATCAAATCAAGATAATTCTTGATAATAACCAATACTTAGTAGGGACCTTGTATTAATGACAAGCAGTTTTTGATTCTTTGTACAAATTAGCTCCCTGAACCTTTCCTAACCCCCAGCAAGATAGATTCTATTGTTGTTATCATTTTCAGATGAGGACAAGCAACCACTCTGAGGCTCCTTGCCGGAATGAAGAGGCTGTTAAGGCTTGGAGCTGTGACTCTTATTATGGCAACCTGGCTCCAGAGTCATACTCTCAACCTGAAAAAGTTGCAGGTCTCACTGAAGCTTGTATTCTTTATAAACATAATATCCCACCATTTTATAGATTGTTTATGGAACTATACAGAGCTTTTCTTACATGAGAATGTGGCCATTGTACTTTTATACAACTAAACATCTACCCTTAAAGCAAGGACACAAAAATACGTTGACCTATAGTCTCGGATAGAACTCCCCAGTCAATTAAAAATACAGTAGGCTGTGTGACTATTTTGTAATGGCTTTCAGCTTTAACCCAGTTATCCCAGAGAATGGCAACAGGATGAACAGATGGCATTCTATCAGATAAAACGACAGAGCATGTGGCCAGAGAGGATACTCCCTAACACCAACGTTTTTCTGTTCCTGGCAATGGTCACAGGCACCTAGATCTGTGCAGAATGACAGGATTTAAAGGTGCCCGCGATGTCATTCAGAAACATCAACCGTCTGATCTCATTGTTGAGAAATGCAATTTAATATGCACTCAGTGAGATTTGCCAACCACACGCATTTGGGAGGCAGTTGTGAGTTGGCAAGATCTTTCTTATAAATAAATGACCTTGGTAATAAATGAGTCAGAAGCTCATTTAGCTGAAGAATGTATTTATATGATATACCCATACAATAAATACCATGAATGTTTAATGTCTGATAGCAATACTCTTACTAAAGACGAAGAAATGGAATCACACTCCAGAATTTCATGTAAAGTCATTTATTCCCCCTACACAATTCAAACTTGTAGTCTCTCTCTCTCTCTCTCTCTCTCTCTCTCTCTCTCTCTCTCTCTCTCTCTCTCTCTCACACACACACACACACACACACACACACACACACACACAAGCTTGAATGGTTCCCAAACTGGCATGTCTCTACCTGACTTTTATAAATGTCACCAGGATGTGTTTACAAGTAGAAACACAACAGGTTAATCATCAGAAGTAGCTGCGTGAGCTGCAGAGGAAGATGTGAGTTCACCCACATGGCTTTGAATTCTGAGTGTTTTAGTACCAGGCTGGCTAATGCTAAATTCAGCGAGTTTGCGGAAGTCACGTGTGAAGTCTGGAGGCTGCCACTGTTCTAAATGAGTCGTTCGCAAAGGCAAGCAGCTGCCTGCGATAGGGAACTGTGCTCATCTTTGGTGGTGCATTCTTTTCCACCCCCAGCCTGGATTAGTTCAACTAAAATACAACAAGATGCTCTGAAGCCGGATAAATTGGAGAAATACTGTGAATGGGATGCAGGAAGTGTAGCATTTACCCTCAGTGGTCCATCAGTGCTACAGGTGAGCGTGTAGGAGGAAACAGTTGGCCAGGATGATCAATTTATCAATGGCCTGAGGTTAAAGTATCAAGGGGTATTTACTTCTTAAGTCAGTTGTAAGATCAATGAGTTGGAGCGAAAAAACTGAGCTTTTTCAGACTAGGTTGAAATTTTATATACTGTCAAAAACATGGAAATCTGACTATTTAATATAAATTAGGCTAGAAATTTTGTTTTTCCTTAGTAAAATTTTGAGCAAAGGGGCTTTCTCATTCTTGTGCTATGGGTTTTATAAGTCATTCTCCTAACCAGTGATATTGCTTTTCCTGTGGACATCTTTCAACTATGCCAGAGTTCCTTGTGGGATGTCTGTTTTATAATCTATCACAGGGGAAAAATTCTGTGTGACCCTCCAAAAAGACACATATGGTGAGGAAATCCTTGAAAATTAAATGGAACATTATTAACAATTTGTGACGATCACAAACCGCTAAAGAGATAAAGACCAGATTAAAAGCTCAGCAAAAGAGGGATTATTCACTGCACAAAAGCGAAGGGCTCTCAAAACCTCAAGTGCCCTGCTGCTGACCTCAGTCTTTTGTCCAAGGGGATGATCCCTGGGCCATTCTAAAGCCTTATAAAATATCATTCGAAAGCATAAAAATCACTTTGTATATGGTTACTTTGGAGTGTTGCTACAATCCCAGAGCTACATGGGAGACCGAGTCAGGAGAAAGACCAAGAGTTCCAGGCAGTCTGAGCAATATAGTTAGATTCCAACCTAGAAATAACGGAATGCAGAATAACATTTGAAGACAATGATACCCTTTTGTAGGGGTTATCTGTTGTAGGTTTCCGTATTTCAACTAAACTAAACATTCATTCGTGGATCATGTAAAATTGTAGTGCAATGCCAAAACTTTCTGGTATAGAGTACATTTTTTTTTGAGTTCTCATTTCCTATTTTCTCACCTTCTTTTGTGTGGATTTTAAGTATGTTACAACCAAGTAAATGCACTCTTTGGCAGAAAGGAAGGCTTGCAACTCTGAATATCTTAGGCATGACATTTGCAGATAGATAACTTTTTTGTTGTTGTGGGCATGTTATGTGCTTTTCTACTAATATATAATAGATTGTGATATTGGATTAAAAAGTGATTGGTTTACAGTTTGTGAATAGCCACACAATGTTGTTAAGGAGACAGACCTATAGGCATCTTAGACACGATTGTCTTCCAGTTTTTTGTTAATGTTAGCATGTTATTTGGTTCAAATTAAATCTTGGTATGTATTATTTAGCAATTAAAGACTTTAATATATTTTAAGGACTTTGATTTATAGAAAATACATAGACTTTTAAGTCTTGTCACAAGCAAATCATGTGTTTGCTGAAACCTGCCTACTACTAGAACATAGAGAGGATCCTAGACAGTCTTGCTCATACCTATTGCATCCAATCTGTGTTGTTTTCATGTGCCTTCAAGGCTCTCTGGCACACGGCACTCACTGCAGCACTGCTACTTCTTTGCACCACCATTTGTTTGCTTTTATTTTACTATAACTGAAATAATGATTATCCCCAATGCAATAAGGTTTCATGTGTATATCACCTCGGTCATTTTTTCCATTTGTCTGTTCTTTAAAAATGCATTCAAAGCCACTTTCACAATATATTCTCTCTAGATGCACTCAGTTGTAATTGCTAGTATTATTATTATTCTGATATCTTCTACTGGCTCCTGATATTTCAGTTCATGATATTATATATGCTATCCTTGCCTTTTCTAGACATGAACATTTAATTGGAGAAGTATATGTCCTTTTTGCCCTTGCCTCTTCTTGGGTACTAGGATAGGACCTCAAAACACAACATAAGAGCATGCTTAGAAAGATATCTGGAGTGAAAAATAATAAGAGCATGCTATCTGTTACATGATAATTTAGGTACTAAACTGTTGGAGGGAGGCCACTTGTTGGTTCCCGACTGCTCAGCCCCAAAATAATCACACAGAAACTGTATTAATTAAATCACTGCTTGGCCCATTAGCTCTAGCTTCTTATTGGCTAACTCTTACATATTAATTTAACCCATTTTTTTATTAATCTGTGTATTGCCGTGTGCCTGTTACTGGCTAAGGTTCTTTCTGGCACCAGCAGGGCTACATGGCTTCTCCCTGACTCTGACTCTGCCTCCTTTCTC